CAGATACAGAAAAAAGCAGCTGTTAAAAAAGTCTTAAGTAAAACAAAAAAAACCACCTCAAAATATATCAAAAAGCTCAAACCAACCAACAAAACCAACAAACTCAAACCCCTCAAACATTACCATAACAACAGTGAGTCTTAAGTAAAACAAAAAAACACCTCAAAATGTATCAAAAAGCTCAAACCAACCAACCAAACCAACAAACTCAAAACCCTCAAACATTACCATAACAACAGTGATATATGCTCTTTTTACAGCTTCCCAATTCCTTTCTTCAGAGGCAGGAATTAAACAGGCATATCAATAATAAATTTAGCCCAAATTTGCTAATCCAAGTACTGTAAACAGAATGAGTAAAAATCCTGTATTACTGTATCACATAATATTGCTGTGAGACAGTAGTTATCACTTACCCTGACAACATCTCAAATATAAGAATTCCTAGGGCCCACCAATCCACAGCTCTCCCATGGCCTTTACTTTGTATAACTTCTGGTGCAAGGTACTCAGGAGTGCCACAGAGTGTCCACGTTCTGAAAAAAAATACCAAACACAAAACAAACTCAAAACTGGATTGAAGTTAAACTGAAATAACAGTATAAGGAAAAAACAAACACAGATTAGAAGTCCCCAACCTATACCTATGCGTTTTTATTGCTCTCCAATTCTCCTGCAACAGGGATATAAGGAAATTAAGAAACTTCTTGACTGCAGAAAATATCTGTCGTCAAGCAAGTGTGAGATAGGCAAGTAATACTATTTCTGATATATTTCAATGTCATTTTTTAGTCACTAATACAATTAATATAAGCTCAGGATAAACAGCACTATATTGCTAACTATATTTCAAGTTCTAGAATACATGAAATAAATTGAAGCTAAGCAGTTCCAATCTGAAAAGAATATTCTGAAACCATTTCTTCCAGAAATGTCAACTCTTGACATGTAGAATTTGCCTGGCTTTGCCCCCTTGGCTTAGGATTAAATATATGCTTGAGAAAAAAAGATGTATTTTCATTCTCAATACATAAATATCCACAGAAAAATGGATACATTATTTGGTATACATGAAAATAAATCTGATAGCAAGTCAGAAGATGAAACTTTGAGACAAAGTGCTCACCAATTCAAGAGAAAATGAAGTAACAGCATAGAATAACAATATGGAAAGAAGAGATATATAAGATATGACAAAGACTAATCACAAATGGTCACCACGCATGACTTCTACCTTACACCAAAACCACTTCTAATTGATTATTTGTGAGAGCAGGAAGAAACTTTTCCAATCAAACTGGTAATACGCTTCTGAACAAATGCATTAAGATGAGTAGCAATCAGCTTTGGAAGTAATATTAAACTTCTTTCAACTTCTTTTTTCTGAGACTTCAGAATTATTTTAAAGAGTGCTTTTGGCAGTTTTTTTTTTTTGTTTCTCTTTTGTTTGTTTGGGGTTTTTTAAGCCTTAGCCTTGATTCATAGAAATACTTACCATAAGGAAGAGGAGCTGTACAGTCAGTTAAGGCTTTAAATGAAGAATTATGACTTGAATTTCTTTAAGCTTGATTTTAATATGGCAAAAGTTAAATTACTTCAGCTAAACTGTCAGAATGTATTAGACACACTGTGCATCCATGTGCTCCATGGTTCTTGAAACTACATTCCTTAGTGTAAAAAATACATCTTTAATTTGTCTCATAAATTTATCTCAAAAATATGAACTCTCATTTTCCAAATCAAGGACACTCAAGAAAATTCTTACATACAGCACTGCTTTACACTACTGCCATCTAGCAGTTGCCTACATCAAGACTACAGAATGCAGAAAACCAACAAAGTTCTGCTGCCTTTTAAAACCAGATAGTTCTCCCTCTCCCAAATTTAAAAAGTGGTATTACAATCCATCATATGAATTGTTAGTCATACTGCTTTAGCCAGCTCAGCAAATGAAGCAGCTGACAGTTATATTGTATTTGGGAAGGAGGTGGTTTTATCCCTTATCATGGTCATCAACATACAATAAAAATCAACCTAACATTTGACCATCACTTCCAGGACCTACAAAATTTGCTGAAGACAATATAACTAAAAGGACTCCTAATTACTATAGAGGTTATTAACAATATCTTTTTTTATTTAAGCAAAAGAAAAACTGCAAATTAAGTAAAGGCCAATGTACCAGCAACAGCCCAGCTGAAGGCATACAGACCAACTGGTATAATGCTTTTCAGAAAAACAAAGGTCTAATAATATAATAGCTGTAAAGTTCAAAACAAACCCTTTCTACAACCTTAAGGTAACAGTAATTTATAAAAAAAACCCTCCTCATCTTTCTTCTTGACACTGCCTTTTTTTAAAAGCAGTGGCACATTCATTTATGTGCATGTACTTGGAAGAAACTGAAAAGGCTAGTAAGTCTTCAATTAAGCAACACCAAGGTGGAAAAGAAACAAACAGCAGCTGAGGCAAACATGTGCCATTTTGGAGAAAAAAATTAGAATTTTCAAAACTACACTATGACTGAAAAGGGAGGAACAAGGACAAATAAAAGGACATACCAACAGGGATCAGAAGAAGACAAGAAAACCTTCCTTCTTTTCTCTGTCTCTAGAAAGAAAATATTAAGAGCCTAGCCCTTTAGAAATTGTACTAATAAGAAGATAAATGTGCTGGCTGCTACCCACAGTGGGAACATGAGCTATGAGCCAGACACTTTCTGAAATGCAGCTTAATTGTAGAGGGACGTGGTGAACCTTTCACACATGGTAATGAGAACAAAGGAAAATGTGTACAGAAGAATCTCAATTAGGCAACTGCAGAATCACTCAAAGGCATTATGAATCAAGAATGTGTAATTGTATCAAAGGTCTTCTGCAGACCATGTTTTAATTCACATAGCATGTCTTTTCTAGGACTAGAGTGGCAGGTTGCCTCACAATGTCTGAAAAACAAATACTTCATGTTCTATTTCTGCAATCCATATACACTGTACATATATGCATGTATCTATCCACATACTCACATACTTACACCTAAGATTTATGTGTACAGATGTTTGCCATGCACATAAATGAAAAAACTTATCATCAAATAGCCTATGCCATAAACAAAAGAACCTACTGGAGCAAATTAGTGGATAAATGGCTGACAACTGTATTTTTACAGTGACAAAACCAACATGGTGAAAATGACTTCAGCTAGTGGGGAGAATGCTATGTCCTTCAAAATAAAACAACACAAAAAAATCAGGCTTGCATACAGGGAACTACTAGTTTTCTAACTGATCATGTCCTGCTCCTTCCAACTTTATGTTCTGTATTTATATTACCTGTTGTATAGTTACAGGTGAATCAGACATGAATATAAAACTATTATAGCATTCTATGATTCAGTTCAACACGAACTGATCAACTTCACTGTCCCCAAAACAATATGGGAAACAAAACCCCAAATAAAACCAGTAGTGATAACTTCTTTTGATGTCCCAAAATATATTTGAACAAATTTAATCTTCAAGACTCATTTTCCAGGTTGAAAAATATACTCTGATGTGAACTATCACCTTATTTAATGAAGAGTTACTTCTGTCATGCCTTAAACCACAGAAATCCAAATCAAGAATAACCACTAAGTGGCAGCATCGACATCTACAGAGAAAGTTTTAAGAATTTTTATGACAAAGTCTTATGGAGAGACTGTCTTACTTTCGTACATGGAAGTAAGTAGTGTCACCACTTTCTGCAAAAAGTTAATTTGCTTTAAAAACAAAGTACTAAAAGAAAAGGTTAGCATTTGTAGGCCTATTTGCTCGCCCAGTAGAAACTGAATTCGATCAAATGTGTTGATACTAAAACTCTATGGTTTTAAACAGACTTTCAGATGTTGAAAGGTAAATAGAACCAGCTTATTCCTAGTTGTCTACTGTTCTTCTGTCCCGAGGCAACCCAGCACTGTGAGGACGTAAGCCATGGGGAAGCAAACCTTATGACCTTCATATGATTTGATTTGTCTCATCTGACTTTTACTTCATAAGGATTCCATTCAGTAGCTCCCTCAGATCCACTGTCCTTTCAAACTGTTCTCCTCACATACTGAACTGTTTGTTGCAAAAGCAGCATCAAACAGCTACCCAGCTGAGTGAAGAGGATGAGCACCCATGTAACACCAAACTCACTGCTAGGCTAGTTTAGATATCCAATTAAAGCTGACAGTGTTGTAGAAGCTACAGTTAAATAAATCACTTGTACTGAAGCCTATTGTTTCTGTCTAGATTTTTGCAGTTTGCTTTTAGCAACAGTCTAGTGAAAACATAATATCCAATTTTAAAATGTTATTTCCACGCTACAAAAATCTCTGGAAGGAAAGCAGAAGGTAACACGAGTTACGAAACATTCAGCAATTCAATATATATGGAGGATTAACGTACATATCTTAATATTTGCTCATATTACTTTGCTGAACTCAAGATGACTGTTGAAAACTTATATGTATGAAACTACTCATATAAACATGTTTTTCTATGGTTGCTTATGTGTGATATTGCTCCTAGTTGTACCTAGGGGCTAATATTGGTTTCTGTGTAGACATTTTAAGATGATCATTCTCTTCATACTAAGGGATTTGCCACGCGTGAACCACCCGGAGTGTTAGATGAAAGGCTGAATAGAGAAATAAAACTCTTTTCTTCCAACTGTTTAGCATGCAAAATGTAATTGCCATAACAAAAACCCACTTACCTATCCACCAGTTTTTTAGCAAATCCAAAGTCGGTAAGCTTGATATGTCCTTCTTTGTCTAACAATATATTTTCAGGTTTTAAGTCTCTGTAAACTATTTCTTTGGAGTGCAGGTATTCTATTGCACAAACAATTTCTGTAGAGTAAAACAGTCCTGTGCTGTTGTTGAAACGGCCCATGTTGCGCAGGTAACTAAAAAGTTCTCCTCCTGGCACATACTCCATTAACATATATAAAAAACGTTCATCGTGGTTGGTCCAAAACCTGTAATAAAGATAACATTTTATTGAATAAAGAAATTATAGCTTTGAGTTTCTGTAAAATGGTCTCTGTTACCTCAGCTATGTACATAACTAATTTCTGATTCCTAGTCTGCAAATCCAGCAGGATTATGGAACAGACATGCAAGTAGCTGATTTAACCTGCAACAAAAACAGGGAGTCAAGGATGCATACAACACAGCCCAAGAAAGAAAAGTAACTGACAGACTCTGTTTCACAGTACAAAGTTGGTCTCTGCTAAGCACCAAATAAGTGACTTGATATCAAGACTAGATATTTCTTACACACCTTATATTTTATTTAATCAAATATTGACAAAGTGATGTGGGATCAGCAGAATCTGCTTTTATAAAGACTTTCATGTTCAAAAACAGACAGAGTTTTCCTTGCTGTCTCCAATCCCTCCTTCCCTGGAAATACACAACCCCAACTAAAATATCAGATCACAATGCTTGGTATTCTATGGTATCTTTCACAAAAGCAGCAGAAAAGCAAAACTTCAGAATTAACCTAATGATAAGTACCTGACGTTCCTCAGACTGCTGCCTTTAAATTAAAAACTGTTATTGTGGTACAGTCATTATTAGAGTGCAGTAAAGAACGGGCAAGGAAGAAAATAAGTAATTCGATGTGGTTTTAAAATGTTTCATTACAGAATACAGGAATCTTCTCTCTCACAGTCCCCTAAACTAAGTTTTCTTTCTATTCACACTGAAACAAGTCACATATCCTCAAATGTAACTCAACAGTTAAGAAGAAAATAAGTAATCTGGTAACACCGTGAAGAACACTCTAGAAAACAAAGATCTATCCCTAATTCTATAATAAAAGATAGAGAACACTGTATCCCTACCTACTTTACTGATACAAGAACAGAAGCTCCTTTAGCTTCTAGTAACTGCTCCTGTATTATCACAAGAAAAGAAAGATCAAATACTTTTCTTATTCTCTCTCCTTCATTACCTGGTACTTAAGCAAGGCAAAGAGCCTTAGGAAAGATAAGCAGAGCAAACTGAGCTCCCAAATCCATGAAGGACTTTTACTTAGCAAGATTTTCTTCCTTGATACCAGCACTGAGGCAACCAAGAAAATGAGACAGACTATCAAACATCAGGACCAGCTCCTCCACTCCTTCAAAATGATGAAGAGCACAGAGCCCAGGGTTGCCTTTTGCTTTGATGAAACTTCTTCCCTATCACAGTCACCAACATTATTAATCAGCTATTGATGTTCACAGTATTTATTGACTATGTAAAAACACTCTGGAGACATTTTAGGTAGTCAAAGTTGCACCTACACTGATCAAAGAAAGAGGAACAGGAATGGGCAGAACAAAGCAAAACACAATGGACAATGACATGAGCATAGATGATGCAACATCTCATTGGACATTTCAACAGAAAAGGCTCTAGAAGACACGAAGAATGTTTGCTGGCACACAAGTGAACTTCCATTTGAATTGTGTCCTTTGGCAACTTTAAAAATCTGGTATTTTGGAAATAAGGTACGAATTAAATCCAATAAAATTTGATCACTGTATGGAACACGAATCCTTGAATCCTCATCTCTGACTTCTCACCCAAGTTTCCCTAGTCCCACTGCTCCTGACACATAGACCTATGGAGTTGGGAGTTTTTTTGAGTTTTCATTGGTTTTAGTAGGGTTGTTATTTTAGAAGAATTTACATATGTACATAGATATATACATGAAATCCTGTTCCCCCTGTTCTGTCCATTTTTCAACCAGTCTAACCAGATGTACTCAGCCCTCTCCATCTTGCTTTCCTCCAGGCACCTCAAACTCCACATAGCCTAGAACTCATCTTACTGATACTGTGCCACATACAGGATTTCTGAACACTAGCTGGAAACTAATAGTGCCATGATGCTGGAAATAGCAACAGCACAACGGAGAAAAAGCTGCTCCCTGCAGGGCTCATTCCATCCTTTGGAAGACTACCATGATGTTGCTTCTTCTTTTTCCTGTGATAGCCCTGTGAGGATGCTGCACTCACTGCAGCTAGGGATTAACTAGGGCTCTGTCTAATTTTATGTGAAACTGATTTAGGCAGGTAAATGCGAAACAAATCTTGGTCAATAGCCCCGTATCCATACATGAGAAAATATACATAGAAATTAACTGTGAAGAGAAAAGTAGGATACCTTCTCCCTTTAACAACAGGATCATTGGGATCATTAGAAATATCACAATTCCACTAAAGAAAAAAGGTATTAATGAACTGTGTTTAAATCATGTTTAGGATCATTAGAAGTATCATAATTCCACTAAAGAAAAAAGGCATTAATGAACTGTGTTTAAATCATGTTTCTCAATAGGCTCCAGCACTTAACCTCAAATATGGGAATATCAAAGTCCGTGAAGTGCTGCAGTTACTTAAATTCCTTAAAAATAATGTTTGCAAAAGAGAAGTTCACATAAAATTCCCAAAAATTAGATACTTAAATCTATTAATATCTTAAGTTAGATACCTACAGGACATATGTGCAGAAACGCTTTTATCACCATTCTAACATCAAAAATCATTCTGGAAGTCATTTTGATAAGCCAATCCTAACAATTCTTCATTAGTATTTTGTGCTCACTTAAGAAAATTTCTCTTCTGTAGTGTGAAAACTAGTGACAGAAAAAATCTTGTAATAGATTATTGCTTGAATATTTAAATTGTGCCTTTTGATTTTAAAGTCTTGATTCTTCTATAATAAATACTTTAGTGCAAAGTCTATTTTAGTCTAGATTGCATCATAGAAATTAAGTGCTCAGTGTTGGTTAAGTATATAAGAGCTTGTAAAGAGACTCTGGAATACCTGAACTGCACTTTATATATGAGTTAAATGAATGAAAAAAATACAAGAACTTACAATCTGATCAAAAAGGGGTGGTTGACTTCTTTCAACACAGACTTTTCATTGTGCACATGTTGCTCTTGTTTCAGTCGAATGACATCAGGAATGCTCATTACTTTCAGTGCAAAGTAACGTTTGCCCATTTTTTCCTTCACCAGGTGAACACGCCCAAAGGTACCTGTGCCTGAAATGTTGAAGCAGAAACATCAGTTTATTGCAAAAATTAAAAAAGCTAATTTGCTAAATTAAAACCTCAGGAACTCAATATCTGGTTTGTTTCTTTTAGTTTTCCTCATAATACTCATGTACTTCAACTGTTTTCACAGACTTCTTTTTCTGGAAATGTCTCAATTTTTAGTAATAATAATTTAATAAAAAGTAATGATATTGTGATAATAAAATTCTTTGGGGAGATACTGGAAGCATTTCTTGCAAAGAAGAGAAGTAGCCCTAAGATAGGGTCATGGATACATGCACAAAAAATAAGTATGAAATATATAACTCTCAAATTTAACCCATGTAAATGGAAGAAGCAAAACTGTTGCCAACTGCAGAAGACAAGTTGGGAAAAACTCTCTTAAATTTCAGAGATCAATTTAAATTCTTTAGGGAGGGCCAGGCTCAACTCAAAAGTATCACTCAGCTTATTATATCCACAGTGTGTGTCATAAAAGAAAAAAAACATCACTGACCAATGCTGTAATGTTCAATTGTAATGGCTTTAATAACTCCTCAACACAAAAAAACTACTTCACTTTCCATATATTATTTATTAAAACAAGGCAGTTAAAAGTCAATCAGGGCTTAAAATGTAAGAACTCATAACTCAGAGTACAAAATATAGAATCATGATGACAACAACAAAAAATTTAACAATATTAATCTCTCAAGGTTTGGTGACTGAGAACAGTTGTCTCCAATTATTCAGGTGAGGAGATTATTCCCTTATACGTGCACAGAGAGGTGAAGTGATTCAGTAGAATAAGAAAGTGAGGGGAAAAAAAGAAATATTTAAAAGCTCAGACCCTTCTAAAAAGAAATTTAAAAAAAACTTGCTTATAGTGCTGCAACATTGAATCACACATTAACAGTATCTTTCTGGCACCCTTTTTTGGAGTTAATACATTCCTTTTTCAATTCACTCCTAAAATATAAAAACATATTGACTTTTAAATAATATACTGGGCATTTCTCTATTCAATACAGTAGTCATTAAAGCTCCTTTTAAGCATGTTGCACTGAAGACAATTAAACATAACTGAACGGAGTATTTCTTTTAGCTAGACATGGAAGTTAAAACCAGCACATTCAACCACACTGTTATTTGTAGTGCAGCACAGTGTCATACATTTGAAGATGAACACACATTTCAGCTCGTTGGGTGGTTGCTTATTGGTTTTCCACTCATTAAACAATGCTGTGTAGGTTCCATTACAAGAGTACGGCAGATATTTTTAGTCCCATTCTCTGACAGAAGTATGTACCACTATAAAGGACACTTTGGCATTTATACCAAATGCCTAACTTGTAAAAGGTCACTCTCTACAAAAAAGTCAAAATCTTGTACTTCAGCTCAGTCATGCCCTTGTTCACACATAGCCTAGGGAAGGCAGCCCACAGTCCTGTTACAGGATTATTAACTGGTATGGCAATTGATTGCAGATTTTGCCAATAACTTATCATCAATCATACATCAATTTTCTAGGATGTGCAACAGGTGTAGGGAGATGAGTGTTTATGTGAAAGGAAATAAGAGTTTTGTGAGAGAGGTAGGGAAGACAGAACAAAAAATGAACTTCTAAAACTATGTTATTCGGGGAGAGGAAAAAAGACAAGCAAATTTTTGCTTCTGGTAAGTTCAGAAACGTGAGAATTAATTTTGAACATGGTTTTGGGTTTTTTTCTGTAAGCGTATTCTCACGTAACACTTTTAAATCTTATTTATTTTTCCTTCCTCGCAATATTGCTTAAGACCATTGCCTTTAGTGCAAGACAAAACAAAATACTCATCTTACAAACTAGAAATTAACAACTTCAGCAACCCAGTTTTGTGGAACTTGCAGCTCCACTACCAATACAGCTTTCAAAACCAGCTCTCAAGATAAAACTTCTCACAAACCCAGCAAGGATAACCATTGTCCAAGCACAGAAGATTCTATCAAAGAAGTTTTACATTTCCACCTGTCCCAAGTTACTGCTCTTGAACCACGAAAACCACACACAGGTCTCAGAAAAAAAAGCCTCCTGTTATAGCGAAGTAAGCCATCAGATTATCCTGGAAAATTTATCATGCAATTAAATCCTTTAGGAATGTAGTCACATTACATGACTATACCTGTAAACAAGCTTATTTGCTCAGGGATGGGCTTCTGCAATAAAAGCACTCCAAAAAAAAAAAGCCCAAAAGCTTCCAAGAAGAGACATCTGTTCAAGCGACCTTAAATACTGATTATTTACATGTACACTGAATGCACATAAAAAAATTAACTTAGGTTATTTCAGAATTAGAAACTGGAATTTAAATTCTAAGTAAAAAGACTGCCAAGAGTACCTGAAACTAAAAATAATTTTTAATTTTTGCGACTTGGGGAAATTAACAGTACTAACCCTATAAGCAGATGCAAGTTTTACATGCATTTTGATACTTTCATGAACAAAGTGCTTACAAAGACACATTCAACAGAAAAGTCTGAACACACATATTGTTCCTAGGTCTCTACTGCATGTTTCATGACTTGTTCTACTCGTCCTCGAAATTTTTATTTTAGAATGCTTTATTTTTTCCTTATGCTATTAGTCTAACTTTACGAACTCAAAAATAACAACAGTAATAATATCAGAAATCACAAGTTCCACCCATTTTCAAAGAAGGACCTGTCGGGGACTTGTTTAGCAATAGTTCTAACTTTGGAAACACAGCCCCTTTAAAGTGTCTCTGCCAGGAACAGCAAGGCCTGGCAGGCTATTCCAGACTACTGGCAAGCACCTAATCTAGAGAGCCTCTGGGAAAACCAGAGACCACACAGACAGGCGAGAACATAGAACCTCCCTAACCAGTTTTATTGTTGGACTGATCACAGGCAGACTTTTTATCAAATATCTTTAGCACAATTTCAAGCAACTATGGAAATCACCAAGATAATACAGACCAAGAAAGCAGCCCTCTAACATTTGTTTTCAGACCTCTGCTCACAATGAGTTTTCTCCCAATCAAGTCTTCTCAAAAAATCCACTAGCTGGCAGTACCCAGACACACACCCACCACCCTTCCAGCACTTTTGACAAACAATATGCTCTCTTAAAGCCTGAAAGAAAAATAAAACTGATGTTCTGGAATTTACTTAGACAACTTAAGCTGTTCAAACTCCTCTTGCTGGAGGAATAAAGAGCAAACATGGAGAGTACTTTGTATTTTATCAACCAAGAGAAAAAAAATTGGACTTTAAGCATATGGGGCCATTAAAAAGAGGGAGCAGGAGAACTTGCTGAAACTTAAAAACAGTTGTATAAAGTATGCAAATGAGGTTTAATTTATGCCTTTGCACAGCCACATATGAGAGTAATTGTTGAGGGGTTTCTTTTTATGCTTGGCCAGTCTTCAAACAACAAGATAAAGTTTGCATACAAAAAAGGACTATAATTCAAATATCTCACTTCAAACTTTTGGTCTTGGTCTCCTGCACATGCTTTTAGCCATTTCTGCAAACATTTTTAAAATTTTCTTCCTTGCAGTTATGGGGAGGGAGTAGGAACAGTCTGACAGTCAAAGTGGGAGGCTGCAACATGTTATGGTAAGGAAATTTAGCTGTTTTATAAAAGCAGGTCGTCTTGTCGTGACTAGGTGGAAATTCTGCTCCTCAGATTCATGGAAAAACTAAACTGAAGCAGTGAAGTGGCAGCATGTCAGATGAAGGCCCATCACCATAAATTTGAGGGAAAGTTTTTGAAGCAAAAAAAGGCAGGGTCACTAGTCTTCCACCAAAGCACCACTGCCTTCTGCCCTCCAGGGATGACACTAAGCTAATGGAACAGTTTCTGTTAATCCCCAAGAAAGGATTGTTTAACTTTATGCTCCATCACCTCAGAGCTCAGCTGTACTAACTGACTAAATCTGACCTTTTGCGACAGATTTGGAAACATTCCTTAGGGTTACCTTAAAATACAAATATTCTATTCCTGCAGATAAGGATTAAAGGAAATACTGCTTACAGATTTGCACATTATTCTACTGATGTTTCTTCAGTATTTGGTTCAAACCAAGAGAACTTCAGGGACGTTGTACCTTTCTGGATGAGCCCTGGGATATATCAG